AGTCACATGAACTGTAATCACCACATACAACTGAAAGTGAATCACTGAAGGCAGTAACAGCGAACTCAGTGAATTCATCAGCGAAAACAGATAGCGCAGATGGTGTGCAGTCTGGAGTCACGTAAATGTTGGTAACATAAACATATTTGTATTTATTCAGATGTTTTGGACGACATCTTAGAGTTAGACAGTCGATAAAGTCATTTGAAAATTTGAAACACACAAACGAAGATCGATACCAGTTCACGTTTACAAACGTAGCTACACCTATTTTTATTGTTTGATCGATACTGACGATAAATTTCGAAATCATGTAGTGATACTAGTCAGTCGTCCTGTAAATCATTTAACCACGATTCTTGAATTGTGATGACACCACAATTACGATACATATTTTGACTTAGTAGGAATTGAAGATAGTCCACTTTGTTGATTAGTGATCGACAGTTAGAATTTAGCATCTCGAGAATCGACATACGATTGATATTCATTCTCTTTAACGCATGTTGCCAACCATCACGATGTCTTTTATGGTACTTTTTTTAACTTGTGCAGCGAAATGCTGTAGGCTTTTCATAAACGCTCCTGTATAGGTTATGTAAATAATGGACATAAATAGACGTTAAAACAAAATAAAAAACCCAGATAACTTGTTGAAATAATTAGATGGCAGAAACAGGTAGCCCAGATATTCAAGCAGGCAAGCATACAAATAATACATGTCAAGTGTTGTGGACCAGTTGGCCCTTACTGAATTACTGAAGAACGAAAGATAATGAGATAATTTGTCTTTCACAGACGAATTCAGAAGAATAATATGAATAATTAAATTTCAATCTGGTATATTATAATTTTAATTTATAGATAACGTATGTTTGAATTGTTATATAATTAAAAAACTGAGGTATTGGCCTTTCATATGAAGTGAATATCTAAATGTGTTTATATTTGATGCCAATCAGTAGATGGAATCTAGTTCAGATGTTTTATGCAATTTTGAACTCTTATCTGAATGTACTTAGGTATTAGGGAGAAAGATTTAACACAAGAAGTATCTAAAGCGAAATCGAATAATCTATGCAAGGAATCCAAGTAACAATAAAGGTGGTTCAGTTTAAAAAAAATTGTTTAACTATTTATCGCATATGTGGGAACGCAGTAGTGTTTAACGAAGTCACATTCGACTATAATTTTTTTCTAATGTTCTAAATGGTGAAAAAACTGTTTTGCGTTATACTACTTACAAAAGTAAAGTAGCCTGTATTTTAACAAATAAATATGATAAACTATTTTTTATTTTTACTTCTATAACTGTGATGATTATTATGACCAATAGTCATAAATGATCACATATCTTGATGAAAATAATATAAAGAATATCGTAATTCGTATCTAGAAATGTAGACTAGGATGAGATGTTGATAGTTCCATCAAATGTAGTAGGTTGAAATGAATTGTTAGCATAAGCGAATGACTAGTATAAAAGCAAGGACAAGAGCTGATGGAATCCAGATATGTAAAATCAAACAGAATGAAATATAACAAGAAATTCTTTGAAATATTAACCACATTCTAGATTTGATAAAGAATGTCATAAGATGAACCACAAAATTCCATTCTCTCCCGATCAGTTAATTTGTAAAATTATATTCCTATTGATTTTATTGAGATCGACTTTTATTCAACATGTATGAAAACGTATTGGACAGTCTAAAGTAGATCTAAACACTAACTAACAAGTCTCTTGACAGTAGTAACTGAACGTTTTTGACCATATGAAATGTAATCTTATAAGTTTTTTAGAGAAAATTGTTGGTTAGAAACATGTATTAACACTGTATTAATTCCTTCAATCATTGATGTTTAATAAGTGAAAAGGGGAATTCAGGTAGTCCTTCTTAGTAAATGTTTAGTGTGTGATACTGATGTCGATAGATATAAGTAGTATGTATCATCAATCGGAAGTGAATTGCCTGGAGGAAGAAGGTTAGGAAGATGAAAGAAAAGAGAACGCGAGCAAAGAATCATTGTTGTGGAAACGAAAGGTCAATGAAATCTGAGACGATTGACTGACATTTTGTAAATAAAGTATTTACTGTATGGTTCTCAGATTTTACTAAGATGTTCTGTTATTTTGTATTCAAATACATCCGATTTTCTCCATTTGTGTCCTCGTTCACTACAAATGTAGGTACTAACCAGCTTTTGTTATGCTACTTTCATTTACTTCTCAAGTTGTGTAGATAATAGTTAAGTATTGGTCCCAATTGTATAATGTCGAAAAAAACAGAGAAGGTTAAACAGATTTCATTAAATTAATTGTAAACAATTGTATGTGGTTAGTATCAATCGAAAAATTATAAAATTTTCACAGTAGTAATTATGTAATAGCATATCTTTGAGAATAAACATGATCAGCTATAGAGTTTAATTCTCTCAAATTTTTGATTGAGATCATGTTAGACCATCATTGAAAACCTGGAAGCACTTGACGGTCACTTCATCCTATTGTAGGACTCCTCAGCAGTGCGTATTCACGATCCTGCTAGTGGGATTCTAACCCAGAGCCTTCAGTCTCACTTGCGAACACTTAACCTCTAGATAACTGAGCCAACATCCATCTCTCAAATCTCTTGATTATTTAATATTTCAAATCATACATTTCTGGAAACGACGGAAACCATATCCTGTCCAAGTACTTAATACATACGCAAATGTCAGCATTTTACCAACTAAAATGAACTCAGAAATTATAGTAGTACTTTATATTGTTGACTCCTTTAAAAGAATATCTACGAAACTCGGAGTTTTAAATGAGATTCAGTAAATTAAATTAAATCAAACATTTAGATTAGCACCATTGAGTAAATAGAGCACTCGATCTCTTGCCGGATTTGAATTAGATTTAGCTTCAGTGATAGACAAACTTTCTAGAAACTTATGATATAAGTAATTCTATAAGTATCTAACACTTCGGTTTGACCTTATTTGTCTTAATTAAGTAAAGTAGATAGAGGTACTCAGTCAAGTACCAGCACAGTTTCGATATCACACCATATGTGTCGAGCTACTTATACGTACTTCACACTTAACCAGCTATTATATATCACAGTCATTGAGTTCGGTCGTCTTGCACATTTACTATTCCATCTAAGTACATAATGTTTTCTTCTTGGTAGCAGTATCGTTAACGTTTGCAAAAACCAGCCTCTTAAAAGCTACATCAACGGTTCATGTTTGAGAGTTGATACATAGATTAGGAAGTAAGTGTTATGAATAGCTAAAATGAAGTAATGCCATGACTTTTAGGAAATTACCAGTTGAAACTTGAATGATAAAACGAGTTTGCAAAAACTGACAAATTTCTTACGGTACCATTTTTCGGAGCTCGTCAAAGTATGAAGTGTGTATGTGAGTTATAAGATAAAGTATATTCTGAAAACATTCATTGTCAGGAACCACAGAGATCGATTGGACGAGATTATTTTGAAAGCATTTTACTTGTTCGGAATCAGCGCGAAAATCTAGACTTAGAAGTTTTAATAAATTTCAGGGATGTAACAAAATATTTAGCTGTTTTTGGATGAAAATGTTCCCTTAGTATTTTTTAAGGAATAAATTGGAATTAAAAAAAATAAATTGTAAAAGCCAACAGAGAAGTTCATACTAGTTGGGCGAGTATTTTAATGTTTCTTTACTTTACCAATAATAACAATCTAATAGTAAATACTAACAAGACTAACCTTCAAAAAACCTATTAGCCATACATCACTATACAAAAGCTATTACTATTGTGAAAGAGATTATATTTAGCAATACGAAATGGTACTAAGCCAGGGAGCCGTAATGATTCAACTTTACTAACATTAGAGTTGAATAAACTCATAAAACGTTTGTGTACTTTGTTATTTGCATAAGTGTTTAACATAATGCAGTGATCGTATGACAAGTAATTGCTTTAATTCAAGTTTCTGGACTTTCTGCAGTCTAAAGGTTTATTTCAACTAGGAGAGTGATAATAATATGCATAAAATAATTGTAGGTAATTCTCTTGAACAATAAACGATAGAAATCACTGTAGATATCAACAATGATTAATTACGAGGATAATTGAAATGAATAAATGAAACGGCGACATATTTGCAAGCTAAAAAGACGCATATTATTCGGTAGATGTTTGGATATGAGTTTTATAAGCTGTTTTAACTGAATTTGAGTAAAAGCTTGTTCTAAGTCTCTGTGATTATAATTGATTAAAAAGTCGTCTTCCCTGGGACATCCGATTCAGTAGGGTAGACAACTGGAAGATTGATTGATGGTATTCAAAGTCAACTATGCTCTGCCAGTAATCCTCATCGGTTAACCTTTTTATTAAGTTCGTCAGGTACTAACCTATCCTTTGAAATCTCGTTAATACTCACTATTAATTATATATCCACAACTGGTCGCAATTCAAAGATAATTCTTCTTTTTAAGTCTAAAACAGACATTTCCAAAATCTAAAACTCATAAAGAGTCACACATTTATAAACAGATTCCTTAGGAACAACTCATCATCTAGAGAAAAATACTGAATGTTGTTTTTCCAAATATGGAATGAAAGTATATTTTTCCAAATGATATGGGCTATACATTTTAAATTTGTTACTTGTTATGTTTACTCCGAAGAAGATAATATCGTCTAAGCCTGAAATCATTACAAGTAGTTGAACTTGATTAAGCAGACAGAAACTATCCTAGTAAAGTTTATATATGCTTAATTACTGATTGTTAACGATTCAGAGAAATATTGTCGATCCATATGAAGCGTTCTGAATAATGTACTTTCATCACTAGATTTGCGTACTTAATATAGTAATGCGCTAAACAGTAGTTAAGCCTATTCATCTTAAACATTACTTTATATATTAATAGTCAGTTATTAAATTTCTTCTAATAGAACCCATCATATTCTAATAACAAAAAATTGATTAATAAATGTATAAGTAATAAAGTATTCATGTAATTTATATATTTGTATTTACTAGTTAATTGTCTACATTGCTACAGATATGAACTGGGTTATTTTTTTGTTTGTTTTGCTTTACTACTGACATTGTCCAAATTTATTCCCAGCGAACATTCAAACACTTATGGGGCTTTAGTTTTGTTTATTATTTGTGCAGTATATTTTTCTGTACTTCGAAGTATATTAATAGTAGATTTCTCTGTAGTTTTAGCTGCAGTAGGTTTCTGTGTACTTATGGTAGGTTCCTGTGTAGTTCTAGTTGCAGTAGGTTTCTGTGTACTTATGGTAGGTTCCTGTGTAGTTCTAGTTGCAGTAGGTTTCTGTGTACTTATGGTAGGTTCCTGTGTAGTTCTAGGTGTAATAGTAGATTTTTGTGTAGGTTTAGGTGTAGTAAACATAGTAGTTAAATCAGCAGTTGATAATTTATCATATTGTGCCTTAATAAATGATGCCTGTTCATACAACGTACGAAAATTGCACAAATCCGTATAGTATTTTACGACTTGTTCAGTATTAATTCCAACAGGTTGACTTTGAATAACTATGATAATATGTAAAGGAGAAAAAAACAGATGAAAAATAACTAAAACTGGAAATTTGTTTTAACCAAATTGTTCACATTTCTGAATAAAGATAGTTTATTGAAAGGAAAGCTCACTTTAATTATTTATTGTTAGTGTTTTCTTTCAGATATGTAAACATAAAAATAGTGGAAGAGATTAAATGAAATATATATACACTAAGATAATGTTGTAACATCAAAGTTATATAAGAAAACAATGGAATACTAAAACAATCAAGTTAATGAATTCATACCAAGTATTCTTGTTACTTGAGGCGGCCTGCTTGAGCATCTGGGCTACCTGTTCCTGCCATCTAAATATTTCAACAAGTTATCTATTTTTGTTTGTTTTAATATATCATTATGTCTATTAATCGCATAAGCTATCCTGGTGCATTTCTGAAAAGTGTACAACATTTCGTTGTCAAAGTTACAAAAAGCCCAATAAGAGATAATGTGGTCGCTGGCAATATGAAGCGAAAAGAATATACATTATTCAGATGTTCATTTACTGGACTGCTAACATCTAACTGGCGATCACTCAATATTTATAGTCAGGATCGACCAAGAATTAAGAAACGGAAACTTGTTGAAATACTTTGTGCTGAGAATTTTATATTGTACCAAAAATATTGAATAAAGCTTATAATTATAATAATAATAAATGAATTGAAATGAATTCCATAACGGATATATTGGAAAACTATTAAACTTGATAATTTCAAATCAAAAAGTTGATTACTGTTTGTTATTGGTGTAGTTTTGTATTCAATAACTGATGAATATAAAGAAAGGTATTTATGAAGTGATATGACGTCCCCGTATTTCGACTCGCTATCATTATTATTTCAAGTAATTCATAAAGTTTTTAGTTATAAAACTTAAGTACATTTTAACAGGGATAAAAGAAAGCGATCAATGATTTAGATATCATTACCATGATTCGACTTAATGATATTAAAGAAGTAAGCTGTTCATTAGGTTGTTTGTAGAAAAATAATATTCTGGTGTTTTGAAACTTAGAATAAAGCACTTCTTCAAAGAATAATATGAATGTAAATGATAAAAGAAATAGATAGAATTTTAAAAAAAATGATTTCATATGGAGATAAACTTATATAAGCCTTTGTTATAGCTAGTAAAGATGATTGCATGTAATTGTTTTATACATCATTGTGTATATGTGGGTGATTGGAACGAAATATGAGACTTACACTATGACACAATGATTACTGTTGTATATGTATTTGTAGAGAACAGACCAATTTCTAACTGAAGAGGAAATTACGGAAAGATGCTCAAAGTGGATACACATACATTACGGAAATCACCAAACTGCATCACAAGGCAAGCCCTAACTTGGAATCCTGAAGGGAAGAGGAAAAGAGGAAGGCCAAAGAACACATTATGTAAATAAATAGAAGCAGATGTGAAAAGAATGAATACCAAGTGGAAAGAACTGGAAAGGATTGCCCATGACAGGGTAGAATGGAGAGTGCTAGTTGTCGGCCTATATTCCTCCAGAAGGGGTAGGAGGTGTAAGTAGTATATATATGCATCTTTCTCGTTATGAAACGGCTATATATTAACAAAATTACTTACAAGTTAGTGCTTGTTTTCCACCTTCACTACTGCAACACTCGATAAGATTGTTAAGAGTACAATTTGATTGTGATTTAACATATACAATCTGGATAAATAAACTGATAATTAATAATGAACTTCTTGTTAAATCCATCTAAAAGTAATATTATCAAAAATAAAAGATAAAATTTTACATAGCAACTAAATTCTATAAAGAATACAAATAAATATATACATAAAAAAAAGTTTATTTTGTCAAACGTTACCTTCAAAAAGAAAAGATTATTTCTATTTTTAGAAAAGTAAATAAGATAAGTATATGAAAATTTCTCACTTGTAATAAATTTTAGTAAATTAATATAATACTACTATACTTCACTTATTTATACAATAATTGAACCAATCACTGAATGAATAAAAAAAAGAAAAGAAAACAAACAAACAATCAACTAATAATCTATTGGATACATTGAACTATTTTTTTTTCTTTTTAAGGAAAAGAAAAACAACAAACAAACAAACGAACAAAAAGAAAGGAAATTTGTCAAATTAATTAAATTAATGTAATTGTCTTTTCTATCATTAATTATTCTATTAGTCTAAATATACATGGGGTCATTATTAATGAACAATAGAATAATATACATGCTCTTATTGTAATACAATTCAATTATGAATGGATAAATAAATAAAAATATCAGAATGTGTTTTGTGGAGATTTTAGAAATTTCACTGATTGAAATCATGAGTCAGTTGAAGCTAGACCACCATTAAAAACCTGGAAGCACTGGACGGCCGTTTCGTCCTGGTATGGGACTCCTCAGCAGTGCGCATCCACGAACCCGCACCACCCGGGGCTCGAACCCAGGACCTACTGGCTTCCAGGTTTTCAATGGTGGTCTAGCTTCAACTGACTCATGATTTCAATCTGTGAAAATAAAAATATATTAAATAAAGAGTAAAATAATAACCATTACATTAAGAAGTACTAGAAAACAAACAAATAAATGAATATCAGAATGGATTTTGTGGAGATTTTAGAAATTTCACTGGTTGAAATCATGAGTCAATTAAATCTAGACCACCATGGAAAACCTGGAAGCACTGAACGGCCGTTTCGGCCTAGTATGAATATAATTTTAAATTAATGTTAACAATGAATACATTTTCTTATCTAACAAATTACCAATGAGTGTAAATGATAATTCGTTTGAATAACAGTAAATATAAATAAGAAATATAAGTAAAATAATAACCAAAACAAAATATATGCAGAAACAAAATTGTATAACTAATTTTCATAAGTTTAATAGTTGAGATCATAAGTCAAACCTGGAAAGACTGGATGACCGTTTCATCCTATTGTGGGACTACTCAACAGTGTTCATTCACGATCCTGCCACATGAGATATTGAACCCAGGAGACTATCGGTCTTGTGTGTGAACGCTTAACCTCTAGACGACTGAGTCGGTATCCAACGGTGGTAATGTCTAAATTCAACTAATCCACGAGATTGAGAGATACATCCACCATTGTCATCAGTGAGTTACTATCTCGCAACAGATCCGGTTGAATTTCATTGGCCACTGCTTCTCATTAGAACTCTAGTAAATACCTCTTGAAGTCAATCACTAGTGAGCATATGTTGATGAGTATCAGATTGTAATTACAAATTATCTGACGGTCAGTCGAAGATTTTAAGCTAAATCTATGGAAGGTTATTCACAATTTGATCTCTTGTCATTATATTTATTTAGCCATTATAAAATATATGCTTTTATATGAATTAGTGCTTTATAGGTCATGAAGATTTGACTATTATGCATCAATTCATATAAATAATCTTCTGAGTCATCATAAAAGTAATTTATTTAAATTACGATTCACTGACAATAAATACAAGTTTCTAAATTTTGCACACGTACACATAGTTTGTATTTATTAAACACAGAATGTTCAATATGTCACAGCTTTGATCTATTATGAATGCGGCACCAATTGTTATATCTGGTCGTTTCTAATTGTTATGTCGAAATCGCTTATTACTTATACTCGTAAAAATGAGAGACCACTGTAATTCTCACGACGCGAAAGTAAGAAAACTGAGATTGGTACAAGTGAAGATCTATTAACCCTTAAAACATGACGACGACTCTAGTCGAAAATACACTCATTTATATATTGATTTATATACCTACTTGGATTAATAATTAGGATGAAACCATATATATGGGAAATACTCAGCGTTTTAACAAATCGCATGCTACATGTCACAGTCCATGCTAAGTTAATACAAGAATATCGTATAAAATTCACTTAGTATTGTTTGCTTGAATCTTTTCATTGATGTTTAGGAATGCAATTCATCAGTTTCTTATTAGCATATATGCATACTGTGTGCATTGCTTCGATATTACCTTAATAGAAATAACCAAGGCGACCTGCTTGAATATCTGGGCTACCTGTTCCTTCCATCTAGATATTTCAACAAGTTATCTATTCCCTTATTTCTTTCAACACATCATTATACCTTTTATTCACATAACCTGTTCATGTGCGTTTGTGAAAAGTTTCTGACATTTCGCTGTACAAGTTACAAAACAACCCAATCAGAGACATTATGGTTACTGGCAATATTCATTGAAAAGAATGAATATTATTCACATATCGATTCGTGAACTGTTAACATCTAACTGGTGATCACTCACTGTTTATCGTTAGTATCGATCAAGAGATAAAAAACAGAAACTCATTGAAATACTTTGAGCTGAGAATTCTATATTGTACCAAAAATATAATATTGAGTAAAGCCAACAGTAATAATAATAAATTCACAAGCATTATGAGTAAAGATGGATAGTGGCTAGCAGTTGAACCCAGTACGCACGTTTTTTTCTCATTTGGGACTCATCAGCTGAGTGTGGAAGTAATGTTGAACAAAAATCTCAGAGTAAAAGAATGTAAATTTTGCCTTTTTAATCCCATCATATCAGACCTCTAAAATTCTATCATTTAAAGATTAAAATCTATGTGTGTAACAAATGCTTATATCCAATGTTTAGCTAATTGTTCTATTTGATAAAACTAGTTTTAATATATATGTATGAAAACAAAAATATTCTTCACTTGACTTTAATTAAATTGATAGACATCAACACCGTTGGATGCCGGCTCAATGGTCTGGCTGGTTAAGCTCCTGGTACGAGACTGATAGGTCCTGGGTTCGAATCTCGCGGGGTGCGGGATCGTGGGTGCGCGCTGTTGAGGGGTCCCATACTAGGACGAAACGGCCGTCCAGTGCTTCCAGGTTTTCCATAGTGGCCTAGCTTCAATTGACTCATGATTTCAATCAGTAAATTGATAGACATCAGTAAAGTGATCTTTTGTAAATTAAAGATGATAAATACATAGTCTTTATTTGCTAATAAATTACTTTTATACATATGAACTGTGCAAAAATAAAAGGATTTTATTCCTCTACAAACATAATTTAAACACTTCTTATGTTAATGTAAAGTAATGTATATGAAAGATTTTTCTTACAAAAGACAGTTCACCAATTATTTACTACCTATAAAATTCCGAAGGTGCTTGGATGATAATGAGAAATTTGAAAAGTTAGAGCTTTCTACACTATCATATTATAGATTAAAGGGTAATTTTATTACTATGTACAGGATAATACAAAGTTTGGACCTGATATCATCCTATTTTTATTCTAGTTACGTCAAGATAAATAAAAAAAAGCACAACAGATAATTCTAAAGATGAAGAGCGAACAGAATCGTCAAGGTATATTGGCTTTCCCACTATGTACTAAACTTTTGAAACTAAATACACAGAGAAGTGATGTCGGGAATTTTAATGCATTCACTCAAAGGAAGATTAGATATGTACGGAAGTGCATCAGAAAATGGAAATACACAGATCTCAGACTTTTGAACTTCAAAGCACCAGTTTGGATGTGAATTGTTAAGATAGCTTTATTGAGATTTTAGTAATGTTTTCCACGTCGAATGTTTTGTGATTTTTAGTGGTTCTAGAACAGACAACAATTTATGTTGAAAATTACTGATAAACTGTACAGTATCTCTATGAAACTAACATAAGTATATTTTGATTTTCGATCAACTCCATTGATGAAAACTATGATGAAAGTCATACCCTGTAGGGTCATACACAATAAGAGTGGTAAATTAGCTTACTGATGATATTAGATGTGCATCACATTATATCAAAAAACCCTTGATATTGAGAATGTGGGGTCATTGAATTATGAGTTAGGTATCGTGCTCACTATGAAACAAGTCTGCTCTAAATTAACAGGCGAACTTTGTTAAGACATTTTTTTGGCCGGAAACTAGATTTTGTTTTTCATAGTTATTATTTGATACACTACCAAAATAATTTCATTCTATTTTTAGACTCTTCAGCAATATGAATCATTTACTGCTCCTTAACTTGATTATATATCTTTGAGATCATGGATATACAGATAATAATCCTTTAATTAGAACAATACAACCGTTTTGTATTCAATAGTTTTAAATATTATTTATGATTAAATTCACTTGGTGTTGTTTCGCTTGTATCTTCCCATTGTTATTTAGGACTGTAATTGATCAGTTTCATGTTAGTATATATGCATCCTGTGTGGATTGCACTAATTCATCAAAACTGTTAACTCTCTAGCAAGATATCTGAGTATTATGAAAGTGATTCTAGATCTTGCAAAGTTCGTTTTACTTAAACTATACAAAATTTAAGTGCTGTAAACTTGTTACACATAAAAAGATGATGAAAAAAAAGAAACTTTCAGTCACCTATTAAAAGATTATTTCAATACATGAGTTAATAAACAAAACGTTTTAAAAATGCATTCATTACATTTTGAGGACAGTCTTATTGTTAATTCATTTCTGATAAAGTGTAGTTATAAAGTGTTTTAAAAAAAAACAACAGTTGAATCCTTTAAGTGTTTTTATTTGTAATAGTTGTAAAGGGATGTTATTTCTTCACAGATGGGAACGCGTTATTAACTATAATATTATTGTTATTATCAATTATATTTATTCTATTATTTATTAAATAATATGCATTGGTTCTCATGGTAACTTATATGATTGTTCACAAAGAAGGCAAAAAAAAGTACAGAATAACTATTATCCTCTTTTCTAGATTAACAATACATAACCTTAATTATTAAAGACATATGATTTGAATGTTATAAAGATAACCAATAATTTTAAAAGTTGAAACAATTTAATAAAAGTAGAGCATATTTCCCTTATTTTTTTGTCCATATCAATGTAATTGTTTAAAATGATTAATATATTTCTTTTTATTTCAATGAGG